TACATTGTATACTGATTTGCTGTTTTACTATTGCCAATAATTTAAACTTGACATACTTTCAAACAGCAAGACAAAACCACTTACATATTTTAGGAGAGAAAAAGTAAAATGCTTCTTCAAGTACGTTACAATTACAACATTTGCTACATATTTTCATTAAATTCAACGTGGGAGATAGTCTCTGAAGAGTTGCAAAATTATAGAATTCAGAAGTTTTAAGATTACTTTAAAAACAAAAATTCTAAAGTGTCACTAAGTGCAAGGGGTCATTTGGACTCTCAAAGTAACAGCTCTGACAATGTAAGAAGCAAACAGGCAATGTTACTGCACAACTTCAAGCAACTACTTCACTCTGCTGGCATTCTAAAAGTTTATTTTCATTAAGGTTAACTAAACCCATAAACATCACTTTGTTGTATTCATAAAAACAAAAACATCACTGTATTCACAGAAAATAAGCATATGCATAAAAGAACAAAACACGTCATCAAAAAGTTACTTCAGTTTCTCTTCTGTAAGTAGTAATAAATATACCCTTTACAAGAATGATACAAAGTATCTGTTAAGGAACTGCACTGATTTCCTATTACAGGCTTAGCTTAGAAGTCTCTGAAAACAACCATTAAGTGGATCTCAATGAAAAGACACAAAATACATGCAACACAAACACAGTTACTTGTTTTCCAGATGCACTGATAAAGGTTCCCCGAGAGAATTCTATTCCTCAAGACTTTTGAGAACTACACAGCACTAGAAAATTGTATTAGCCTTACATTTTCTTTAGGAACTGCATCTTAAAATATATCCTTGAGTCAGGAGCATTTCATTATTTGGCATTTTACATAAGTTTTTTTCCCCTTTCATACAGGGGCTAGGAAATACTCCAGTTGAACAACTAAGTTCGATTTTATCAAACAAAACCAAAAAAGCCATCCATTTTTAACCTAACAGATAAACAGACAACTCGCATGTTGGTATGAGTAGAGATACTTAACACTTCCCTGTACCAGGACAAGGAGTCTAAGGCATTAGCTGTGGTTAAAGTTAACAAAATGTGTTACAAAGTCAGATCAAAACAGCACATCTCTAATTAATCTGAATGTCTTATGACAAATATAGGTACATTTTTTGTACATATGTACATTTGTACATATTTTGTACATATGTACAAATGAAAGATGACCATACTTCAAGCACCTGAAGACTAAGCTAAAACATCAAGACCTCGTTACATGAACTTTATGTATCTCGGATGCATCCTACCTGATCCACTGAACTGGCTGCTTCCTAGTGTCGTTGGTCTGGTTTTCCCACTATTAACAGGTGGGGAAAACATCTGCAAAATAAGAAAAAATATTAATTTAAATTGTTTTTGAAACTCAGTGTTAAATTATTAATGTAAACTTAAAAAGTTAATAGGAAACAATGATTTGATTAATTTTTCTGCTAGAAAATAAACAGAATATAAGATGCACATTTAGACCCATAAAACCAATAAGCTAAAGTACTCCTTGCAATTTATTAATACCACTAAAATCTCTTTTCTACATGAAGACAAACAAATTAAAAGGAGACCTACTACTACTATGGCAATTTAAAATAGTTACAGATCTTGAATTTTGCTACTCAAAATATATTTCTTATTGATCTGTGAGTTTAAAGTCACTGAATAAAGACAGATTTTGCGAGGCAGTAGTTTTCTATTATGTTTATAAATCAAGCACCTTTTCAAAAACTTATGTTAAAAGTATCACAGAGAAAATACCTACAATTTTATAAGCCAAAATTACTGTACAAGCTACCAATGAACAACTTCTTTTATTTATGGGCACTAAATTTTCTTCTGTTTCTTTTTTTAAATAAAAAAAAAAAAAAAAAAAGAAAGGCAGGCGCCAAAGTACCAGTGCCACACGCCAGCTTAACAAACGTTAATTATTAGATTATGCCATCACTGGGTCAGCCTCATTTTAACCAGTTAAACCAATTGACCCAGCTGGTATTACAGTATTAAATCTGGAAGTCTAGACATTACATCAAAGTTCAGGTGTCCAACTTGGCTGAGACAGACCCAGCCAAGCCCCGCACGCTGCTGCCCCTACTCCTCAGCTCGCTTTACCACGCAGAAGTCACGGGAAGACCTCGGGGAATGTCCTACCGCGCTGAAGTCCAGCAAGTCGCTCAGCTCCTTGTCGGTTCCTATAGCGGCCATCCTCTGCTGCTGGGAATTCATCTTCCTCCGCTCCTCCGATCACCTTCTGGGGCACAGGGAGAGAGGCGCGGGGAGGACTTCACCACGCTGGTGCCGACCCCCGACGCTGGGAAGCCGGCCCCTGGAGGAGGGCCTCGGGTACCTGCACCCCTGCCGCGGGGGCGGGGGAGTCCCCGGGGAGCGCCTCGTTACCGGGCGGACCGGCGGAATCGGCAGCAGCTTCCCCAGACTAACCAACTCTCCCTAAGTTTCCTCAGGCGCCCTCTTCTCCCTCGCTCCACGTCTCCCCCAGCTCGAACAAGGCACAGTCACAGGAATCAGGTTCCCCCCCAGGCAAGCGAAAGCAAATAAGCAGCCGCGGCCCGGCGAGGTCCGGAGCATTAGCCAGGGATTAAGTGACTCACTGTCTCCGCAACAATGAGGCTGACAAGCGGGGCCGGACGCGCCTCAGCGCAGCCAT